ATCTTGATTTATCCTTTCACTGCATTTGTTCAGTGTATAATCTGAAAGTTTTATAGGCCATGTTTGGAAGATGGCTGATACTGATAAAAGATAAAATGCACATTATTGTTTATGTGAATTCTGCATGATTAACTGGTTTTAATGGTATAGGGTTGTTTTGCAAGCAGTAGCTCTGGTATCTTGTAAGTAATAAAAGAAAAATGCATTTTTGTATTGCGTTGAGGTTTGATATTTTATTTTGCCTTTGTCATTTGCTAAGGATTTGCTGGCATTGTTCACCCCGTCCAGCATATTGTTACTTATTTAAAATAAAACTAAACCTGTGGCTGTAGCTCTTTACTATCTACTTGATAAAAGATGAGAGGGAGGGTATACACAGTGAAAACAGCGCTATTGTGTGGTTGTAGATAACAGGAAGGGACAAATAGAAACTTCTTTTCCAAACTGAAACTTCCAAAGGGGGATAGAAATGATTCAGAAGTCCTTCACAACCCCCAACATCTGGTAGAAACTGGTTTGCTCTCGATCACTGTAATTAGCATGAGATACAGCCTGAGAGCTTATTGGAGTCATTTTCAGTTTTTGTAATTTGCGTTGAACAGTTTCAGAATTGAGAGTGATATGCCCAAGAGCTTTAATTCCATGTGAATGTTGAAAACACAGAGAACAGTGAAGGAGCTGTCCGCTGAGGGCTGGAGACAAAGTGCTTTACCTTTCGGTGCTGCCCTTCAGTATTTTCTGTCTCCTACTGTTTTGTTAGAAATTAATTAACTTTGAGCTGCAAAAATGATTAAAACTCATTTCTCAGTATAGTTTATTTTTGCATAGCTGTTTTTCCGTGTGTAAGTCTAGAAGTCATTTGTCTATCTGATCTGTGTGTCTCCTTTATTCCTGGCCCAGTGTTGTGAGTGGTGGGGGGAAATGAACTCACCTGGTCCCACCGCACACTCCAAGTCAATGCTGACGCTCACCACCAGCCAAGCCTCACACAGGGTGTTAAAAATATCAGCATCTGGAGGAGAGCGCCCCAGCCCTGCTCCCGGAGCACCTCGTTAATGAGTCTCACTTTTATTTATTTGGTTCACCCACTGAAGAGCAAGTCACAAGTCCATGGGTCTGCTCCAGAGTGGCTGCCTGTCACCGTCTCCCTGCTCTTCCACCTTAGCTCTCCTTTTCTCTCCCTTCTTGTCTAAGATCTGTCTTCTTTATTGTCCTCGATGCCTGGTGCTGATTCAGATGGCCTCCTCGTGCCTGTGGGCCCAGCCCAGCCTGAGGGGTCTGGCAGGGGACATGCCCCCTCTCTGGACTTGGCCACGCCCTCTGCACCGCACCCTTTCCCACACCCTTGCTTTCAGGGGTGTAAAGGTTGGCTGCCCAAGAAAATGCTTGGAAAAGAGGGCCATGTGGGGAAAACAGGAAAATAAGGAAACTATCATGTTCATCAAGAGGAAATCTTTACATTTTGAGGAAATGTGTTTAAGTTACCATCATATAATAAAAGAGAAAGTATGGCACTTTACTTTAAGAAGAAATTAATAATGTTTTAAAGCTACAAAGGGAGCTAGCCTTGGGGAGGCACAAGTCAAACATTGTGCTGAAGTGGTTTTATTATACTTAGAGCAGAAAATGCTCACACCTACTCCGTTCCTCATTGCCTCCATCCCTGTTGTGGAAATATGTCACTGCTATCTCCATTTGCAAAATTACAATTATTGTATGTATGTTGGGAAATTTAGAGGCAAATGATGCTGATGCTAATGTTCAGTCCCCAAATTGGGTACGCATGACTAAATAAAATCATCGCTTACTTTAATTGCCAGTTGAAAATCTTATCTGACCTTTCAAGTAGAACTGTGCTTTTTAATATACATGGAGATACTTTTGGGGAAAAATTGTCGTTTTTATTAACAAAAGCTTACCTGGGAAACGATGGCAGGAATGGCTGAGAAAGTATGTGCATAGAGCTCTGGTACTCGGGCTTTTCTTCAGGTCCCGTCTGTGCAGCCCCTCAATGGCCTGGCTCCCCCTGCCCGCCCGTTTACAGTCACACACTGTGCCGAGGGCCCCCTGCGTGCTGCTCCGTCCTGCCCTGCACAGCATCCCTCTTGCATCTCACAGTGCAGAGGAGCACATGGCAGTTCTGTTAACACCTGTGTGTACGTATTGGATATTTCCTGTATGCATGTTGGTCTCCCCTCGCACCCTGTTTTCTTCTTGAGAACAGCATTACTCTTACGCTCCTCACAGCACTGTGCCTTGTGTGCAGGGGCTGCCAGACAGTCTGCGCTGAGCGAATGATGTTTAGACGTCGAGAACAGAGTCAGCGTAGAAGCCGTGTTATCCAGACCTGCTTTTCCCTGTGCGGCCTGAGCCTGCGTGGTGGAGGACAAATAGCTCATCTAATGAAGGGCCGGGGCCTTTGCTGTCTCCTTTTAGTGGACTGCAGGAGGCATTCTGGAAGCCTGTGTGTAAAGCCCATTTCTGCCACTTGCTCATGTTTTTGGTAGCCTGTGTCATAAACGCTAATGTGATGCTGGTCTCCGTTTTACAGAAGAGGTCACTGAGGCCTGAGAGGTGAGGGAACTTGTTAAGGTCACACAACTGATCAAGTGCTGAAGCTTGGATATGGATATCGTCTCGGCTTCTCTGCAGTGCTGCCTGTCATAGCTTGTCTTTGAACCTATAAATTTCTCGACGCATAATAAATGTCAAATAAACAATAACCATGTACAGATTGTACTTATTTATTATCAGGCAAAAAAAAAAAATGTGACCACAGGCGGGAACTTGGGACTTGGTTACATTGCTCCCACCCACAGGAAGCTCAGGCTTCTACTCTCAAGCTGTACCCTCCGTGTGACCTCCTAAACTGAATGTGTAATCGGTGTGGCTTCTCTCAGCTGATACAGTATTTCTTCATTCTACTCACGTGACTAAAAACAATTGGATCTAAGGCTCCCTTGGATCAGAATAGTGGCCAGAAGCAGCAATTGCAGCCAGACTGATAGCATCCCGGGTCGCCGTGGAGGCACAGCTGGGCCGTTGCGTTGGTACGTGAGCTTGCTGTTGAGATGGTCTCGGTGCTGTTTTCTTTAGCCCTCCTTGCAGCTGTCCTTACTCTTGAGGAGCCTCTTGCTCTCAGTGTCTTGGTTAAGTTCTTGGTCTCCCACTGAGTTAGTCTTCTCTTTTTCTAATCTAGAAAGGAAGAAAAGCCATTATAAAAAGCAAAAGAGAGTAGGAATTATTTAGAAGTCTGAGGGGCAGAAGGAAGGAGAGGCAGTATAGAGTTGGATCTCGGAACGGTGTTTTAAATGCTAACCTAAACTTACGGGACTGCGCCTTTCCTTTGTAAGCAGTTGGTTCCGCACCTGGAGTATGGTCCTTCTAAGAGCCCCGTAAGATTGCTTCTAGTCTGTCCCGCTCTTAGGAAGCTTCCGTTTCTGTCTCTTGTTCCTATACACTGAAATCTATTTTGTTTCACTATGATAACCATTGTGAGCACACTCGAGGTTCTTCTGTTTTCTTACTGAAAGGAATTCAGCATGTAGGAGCTATAATGCCCCCCTCCATCCCCTGAGTAAATAATTCCTCTGATTTGGAGGATACATCTTTTCTTGTTACACTATGTATGTGTCTTTATCTTCAAAGTAGTTACTCAGAGTACAAGGCATAAGCCAAAAAGATTTTTACAAAAAGAAGCTGTAACACAAATCTTTCTTTTCAGTGAACTAAGATAAACTAGTAATATAAATGAAACCAATTAGCATGTGTAGAAGTACCTTTAAAACAATGGAATCTGAGGAAGTATTTGAACTTATTTCCTATTTATCTCTCTATTTTGCTTTTTATTTGTGTTTCTCATATAAGAGAAACCATGTATTATTTGAGCTTGTGTGTCTGACTTATTTCACTTAACATTCTTGTATTCTCAAGTTGTATCTATTTATCTGTGAATGCCTCACGATTATCTTTATGGCAGCGTAGCACTCCGTTGTATATAAATACATTTTCCTTATCCATTCATCTGCTGATGGACATAAACGCTGTTTGCAAGATCTAGCTATTATAAATTGTGCTGCTCTAAACACGGGTATATATGTGTCCCTCTAATATGATGATTTTAACCCTTTAGGGGAAAGAGCTAGACAGGGGATAGCTAAGTCAAGTGGAATTTCTAGTTTTAGTTTTTCTTCGGCTTATCCGCACTGATTTCCATAGTGGTTGTACTAGTTTACATTCCCACCGACAATGTAATAGTGTTCCTTTCCCAATTTTGTGGTTACATCTTACGACCTCTGGTGGCAGCAGTTAGAAGCAGCCAGGGGAAGCAGAGTCTGGGGGTGGCGGATGTGAGAAAGGAAGCCATGCACAGCGCAGGGAGGGAGTCACTGCCGCCAAGAGATGGCACGGGAGCAGCAGTACGACAGCCAGGCGGGAGGGTGCGCCTGGCTCCTGTGAGACCCTGGCTAGGAGTCCAGGAGCCAGGGGCCGCCGCAAGGCCGTCAGCCCTACCTGGCTGAATTCGGACCCTTCCGTTGCAGTCGTGGCCCTGCCTCTTCCCCTCACGGTGAGCCGTCACAGCACAGACTTCCCCTGCCCAGCTTGGAACGGAGGCTGGGAGGAGCCCCTCCCAGCACCTGTGGTGTCCACGCACGTGCGACCGCCGGCCCCGAAACCGGAGGCTGCGCAGGCCCTGGGCCAGCGCACTGTAGCTCACTGGCTGTTGAGATATAGCCCCTGTGTAAAGAGTTTGAGCCCAAAGAGTTAGGCTGGTTTGTTTCTTAAATGCTAGCCTTTCTGATTTGTTTAACCTTTAAGCAAGGTAGGGAGGAAAAGCAAGAGCTTTTCCATTAGAAATTATACATGCACATATATCAAAACAATGCTTAATTACTGTTGTCAAATTTCTGATGGAACTCATTTCTTTCGTTGTTGGCAAAATGAGCAGACGTATTATTATCATTTCTTTACACTGTTTTCCTCCTTGTTTTCTGTTTTAGTTGCTGATATGTGTTCAAGATGAGTGGGATGGGAGAAAATACCTCTGACCCAGCCAGGGCAGAGACAAGAAAGCGCAAGGAATGCTCTGACCAGCTGGGACCCAGGTTAGACACTTGCTGAGAACCTCAATATTGTCTGTTAAAGCTTTATACATGGTTCTTTGTTATTTTAGCATTGATTTTACACCTAATTCATATATTGTATTTGGATTTTCTCCTTAACAGTTAAACTTTTAAATATGCATTAACTTACATTTTGACTATGCTAGTCAGCTACAGCTTTTGTTCTTTACAAAGAAGGAAGCTATATACTTCTTCTGATGTCCCCTTTGTACTTGACTTATAATCAGTTCATTCTAAAATATTGTGTTTTTGTTGGATACAGAATGTTATAACAAGTAGATCCTACAGCAAAAAGACTTGTTGCTAGCTTTATACTAGGTTCTTGTTTTAATATTTTTTAATAATATGAAATGTTAAACCTATTTCTTTGAGTTGAAAACAAAGATTGTGGCTCTTAAGTGAATGAAACAAATAATTCTAATGCAAGCTTCATCTCATCTGTTGTGGCTAGAAATGTGTGTTGTCAGACCTCCATCCAGGGTATTTGGCTGTATCAGAACTACAGTCTTTGAACTAACACGTCAGCGTCTGGAACTCTCCCTGTGATGCACTTCCAAACATGCAAAATGATGTTGTTTTGAGTCTATGCAATATTACTCATAATTATAAAGAGTTAGGAGAAAACAAAATGTTCAAAGGGAGCTGCGGGACTGTGGCGCTTCTGGAACACAGTGCCGCCATGATGAAGGATGAAGCTGAACTAATGTGGGGGAAGAGCCATAGAACATTGTGACAGAAACAGCGAAGCTTATGAAATGTTTTTGGATTATACTGTTACATATTTACATTTTAAAAGAGGAGAGAAAAGCATCTATATTTGTGCAGGGTATACATGTAGGGTAACCACGAAAAAAATGGTAGTATTACTTTGGGTGAGAACTAGGCAGAGAAGGAACAAAGATAGAAAAGAAACTTTCCAGTCTTTTGATGTTTTAAATCAAAGAAATGATTTCAAGAATTAAATGAAAACAGCCTAGCTCCGATGACCAGTAAGAAGAATCAGACAGGAGATAGTAGGGAAGGGGCTAGGAAAAGTCCTAAAAGAGAAAGAGGAAAGAAAGAGGGAAAAGGGCAAAAAGCCAGTGTTTTCTGCTGCCTTTCCTACGTCAAGTTGCCAAGCAAATCGGGGAGCCTGTGGTGTCCATGCTGCCCCCCCTCGCCCCCCGCCCAGCTGCTGCGTGCTGCCCTTCGGTTCCCCAGCACCTCCCAGTAAGCCACAGCCTGCCGGGTGTCAGAGTGCCTTTAACACTCAGGGCTGCTGGCTGGGGGGGCTGTTGGATCAGCGAAAACTGTCCCCGGAGCTGGCTGCCCTCTTACACAACACTGTGTTCCTGCTGCTGGTGGGTGCACTGTCTCTGAGCCTCCCGCCTGGCGCTCCCTCTCTCCGGGCCGTTGTGATCCAGCTCCCCTTTCTTATCTACTTGTTCATTTGTGTGTAGTGTGAGGCTGGTGGTGGTGTGACGAGGTTAGTCGGGGAGACTTAGGGGTCAGGATGGGAACTGGGCCCTTCAAAGCCTTTCAGGCACCCCTCTCCTTTGCTGTACTTAAGTGGGAGCAAGAGGTAAAAATGACATTTAAAAAAACAAATTCTCTTTCCAGCTCTGCCAGTAGCTCACTGGGTAACCATGGACAAATCATGTAACCACTGCAAGATGAGGAAATTGTGCTCCATCTTAGGTTTATTAATGAAAATAACATTTAGAAATGAATGTACAGAAGCCTGTTACAAATTCCCAAATTTTTAAAATTACTATTGTATAAAGTGGCTCCGTGAAACAGCTTGATTCTCTTCCTTGTGCTACTGTTTTGAATGTCGCTCAGTAGGCTCTTCACTGCACTTGAGAAGAAACTTTTGAATTTGCTGTTTTGTTAAATTCAAATGGATGATTTTTCCAATTTTGATATTTTCCCTTTCTGTTAATTTCTTGAAACCTTTGTTGAACTTGGACCATGTTTTTATATTTTGCATGTCATTCAGCTTGGACAGTTAACAAATATCCTGGGTCAGTTTCACTTTTGGTTCTAGCTGTGTTATGACGTTTCTCATTATCTAAAAAAGCTGTATGATTTGATTACTAACGTTCTACAGAGGTCTATAAAATTACAAAAATATCTTCATTATTTTCTTTACCAAAAAACAAAACCAAAATCATTGAAATTTGCTTATGCCTGTATAACTAAGTTAACTTCTCTTTCTTCTTTTAATGTTTGAATTTTTATAAATGTCACCTCTTTCTTTTTGTTTGGCAATAAATTTGTTGCCCACCTGTGTGAAACCCCAACCAGCACAGAGGTCAGCAACGTCATCCAGATCTTGTCGTGTTGAGGCTGACAGTCCAGCGGGAGACAGCAAGCACATTAAACAGCAATCTTACCAGTAGTAAATGCATAATCGTAAACTAGTATACAGTTGACTTTTTAAAAAACATAACATTTTGGGACAAATTGGTCCACCACCCAGAGTACTTCTGTGTTTATGTGGGTAACTTTTGTTTATTATGTTTGTATTAAAACTAGTTGATGTGTTTATCTTTTTCATAATAGCTTTTTCAAATACATAAAAAAAAATTTCTTGTTTTTAGCCCCAAAAGGAGCACTGAGAAACGTAATCGTGAACAGGAAAATAAATATATAGAAGAACTTGCAGAGCTGATTTTTGCAAATTTTAATGATATAGACAACTTTAACTTCAAACCTGACAAATGTGCAATCTTAAAAGAAACTGTGAAGCAAATTCGTCAGATCAAAGAACAAGGTAAGAGGACTTCATTAATATCTTGGAGCGTTCAGTTGCTTTCTGTTTTTCCACGTATGAGAAGTCCCCTCAGAGCCCCTTTAATCCATTTCTTATGCTTAAATTATTGATGAGGAAATGATGTCACCATGCAAGATGAACGCAAGTATCACTTGCAGTGGTTTATAAATAGGCCTTATATAAAATTCAGCCATTCCCTAAAGACAGAGGAAACCGAGGTGAGTCAGGGTGATGTACCTTTTCATCTGGTAAGCTCAGGTGCCCGCTGGCTCTCCTCCCTGCACTTGAGCTTCCATAGCTTACACAGCAGGTGACTGTCATAATTTGCAAATAAAGAGCCAGTTTGAGATGTAAACCAGAAGTAAGGAAGTGAACCACCTCCTGTTCAAGCTAGTCAGCATATTTGATTAAGTTTGAGCCTCAATGGCCATGCCACTGGATTAGAATTTCATATCCTGAATGACAAGAGATTTGAAAGGCTTTAATCTCTAGTAAAAATTCTTTTGTGAAGTCAAAACAGAGAACATGACAGCTTTCTTCCTGTGGCTTTTCTTTTTTTCTGAGACCATTTTCTGGTTCTCTCCTTTGATATTTTTGCCTATAGAAAAAAAATTTAAAATAATGTTTTGAAAACACATTTGACTTTGTAGTGCCAAAAATAAATCTTTATTAGGCGTGTATCAACACTGTCTGGGTGCTCGGGGGTTAATGCATGCGCTGAAGTACCCATATGCTACTTTGCTTCAGGGCTGGGGAGATTATTATCTCTTATAATGTTTCTGAATATATCCTCTTAGAGTTCATATTTTTAAATCTACATTTTATATGGTATTCAAAAAGGCAGATTTTAGGAAAATATTATCTTTGTAAATGTATGAAACTCAAAATGTGTTTTTCCCTATCAAACGTAAAAATCTATCAGCCTGTTAGCACATTTCCTCCATAGCTTTTCCCACTATTGGACTCAGTTCTGTCTAGAAGAGTCTTAGAAGGCTGAGGATGGCCCTGCACACCTGTGATCTCTGCTACCTGGAGACAGAGGCGGAAGCCCTGGGAAACTTATAGAGGCTCTGACTCAAAATAAAAACTAAAAAGGGCTGGGGATGTAGCTCAGTGCATGAACTGGATTTGTGCCTGGCATGATGGGACATGCCTGAAGTCCCAGCACTCAGGCGTCTGAGACAGGAGGATTGCCCTGAGTTCAAAGCTAGCCTGAATTAGCGAGACCCTGTCTCAAAAGAAAGAATTGGTTTCAATCCCCACTACTGCAAAAATAAATAAATGAAAGTAAAGCAGTTTTACAAATACAGTTGTCTTTAACGAACTTCTAAATACATGTATGCAGCACAGTTTCTAATAACCAGACTACTCTGAAAATCAGTCTGTATTTGTAGATTTCTCTGTCAGAGTTATCCCATCCTCACATACAGTACCCAAGGGGCTTTTCCTCTCAGTGCCTATCAGTCTCCATTTCTCTTCTCTTTCTTTTCCCTTTGGTGTTCATTAGTTACCAAAACTGTTGTAATCTCACTTTGGTACCTTTATTTTTGGTGTCAGCAAATAAATGAAATAATATTCTTAGAGTTCTTAGGAGAAATGGTTGGTTGAAGTTATTTAGTGCTGTGAAGTTTCATGTTTCTAGTTGCTGATATCATTGCAGCAGAAAAATCATTAATCATTAAGGTTCAGGTTTCATGTGAGGTAGTACTTTCATGTTTTAAAACAATCATCTGTATTTTTAACTACTGTGAAGGTCTTGCACAAGTAATTAAAGTTTTGCAAAACCCTAGTAATTCCCCCTTGAAACCATAAAACACGTTCAGATGTGTCATGCTGGGCCCATGCCATGTCTTAAGTCTGGTGTTAATCGTAAGGCTGCACACCACAACCACCCAAGAAGCAGCAAGAGTAAACACCCTGTCACATCGTATTCTTGCAGTAATGCTCCCACTGATTTGAAAAGCAGCATGTTTTGAAAAGGAGAGGGAAAGTTAAATACCAATGAAAAAATAAAAGGCATAAGTACGCTTTTAAGTTTTCAACTAATCTGATATTTTGAGACTATCCCTTAATAAACTGTATATTTTTTTTAAATAAATAGGATCACATCAACTAGAAGCAAGTATGTGTTCTGGTACCTCATAGGAGCTTCTTGAATCTGAGCAAATTATATTGTCCCTGACATGTCTCCTTAGAAGGAATTGAGCAATAACCACACCTGGGTTACATGGCTGCTGAAGAAATTATAAGCTGTGTCAATACACTCAGCAAGTAGCTGTCATTGTAATGTTCAGTGGATGATCGTTTTCTTTCCCACATTAAACAGAATAGTGCCTTTTTCTTTACCTGTGCCAGAATCTTCAGCCAGTGACCTCTGCCTTCAGATGGGAAACAGACGAAAGAAGGTTTAAGGATAATTATTATTAATATCCTTTCTCCGAGGTCATTTGAAGACAGTAGTTTTTCTAAGGCCAGAGAACTGTTGCAGCCCATGCAGCCTCTCTACTGGTGGCTCCGTTTGGGCCCGTCTGCTTTCTCTCTGCAGCTGACAGTCAGCCACGGTTCAAGGGCAGTGTGTAAGTCAGGCCGGAGCCTTTCCCTCCCGCTGTGTCTCCCTTGCCTCCCCCACAGCTGCTCCCCCTACCAGTCACTGTAAGTAAAACCCAGCTACCATCTCTGCACCATTATCCGGGCTTAATTTGTCTTTCAGTCACACTTGTCAGCCTGCGTAAAATCAATTTGGGAGCTCAAGAGAACATACCTGTTATGTACCAAAACTGCATATTTGACCCATGAAAGTGAAGCTGGGGTACATGAGGTGTCATACTAAAGAATACTAAAGAGCTAGGGGAGTAGGGCTCATCTTCCTGGAACCCCCTCCTGTGTCAGAAGCTGCATACACCAGCCAGGCATCAGGAACTCTTTCCCTCAGCTCTGTACTTCATGAGCTGCTCCATACACTTTATACTGTACATGAAAGAGGAGAAAAGATATTTCAAAATAGCCTAAAGGGTGGGAATTTGGAAGAGAAGTTACCACTGGCTGTTTAAATTAATAAGCATTCTCTTGTACCTAGCATTTTATGAGATACAGGTAGTAGATGCTGGCCCTCAAGAGTGTGCATACAGGAATGGACACTGTTGAAACAGAGCAAGTACACACAAGAGTTGGATGCTACTAGTGGGATCACCATTAAGTAAGAAATTCCATTCATGTTGGTGGTTTTCTGTTGGCCCACATTCATAAGTCCTTGGTTATTAACTAAGTAACTTAGCAATTAAGTTAGACCTTCTGTTGTTGAGAATTTTGAATACCAGCTGACTTAAGTAGTTCTTACTGTATGCTAGGCACTTTTTAAGTTCTTAGATTTTGTACTTATTTAACATTTAAAACATGCCATCAGAGCTGGGATGTAGCTGAGTAGTAGAGTACTTGGCTTAGCATGCTTAAAGCATTGGGTTTAATCCTCAGCACTGGGGGGAAAAAAAAAAAAGAATAAAATTAAACCATGCCAAGGAATTAGGTACATTGTTTTCTCCTTTTACTGGTGAGAAGCCTGATTCATGGATACTTAAGTAGCATGGCAAAGTCAGGTGGGGTAAGTGACGCAAGAGCAGAAGAGCGGAAGAGTGTAGCGCTCAGGCAGGCAGTCTGCTGCAGAGTTAGACCAGCGTAGCAGCAGCTCTTTGGTATTTAATTACAATGCTGCTTTAGATCTGGTATGATAATGCTAAATTTTTAAAACTTTGTGTTCTATAATTTAAAAAGTATAGTCTTAGGTAGTAAATTATCCTTTCTTGCTAACTCAGGAGGCTAATATTGCTTCTGCTTCACAGAAGAATTATAAAAAATACGAAAGATGCTATTAATTTTGGACTACTCTGTCCAATTTCATTCTTTTTAGATGGAAACTTAAGCATTTCTCTAGAAAGTATATGGGATTCCTGTTCTCTTATAAAAATAAAATAGGAGTACAAAGTGACTAAAACAATAGAGGCTATTAAAATACTAACACATTTTTATTGTCCTGTGTAAAGTAACCTCCTCTACCCCAAAGCTGCCACACTTTTTATTTTTCTTCCCTAAGATAATTTAGTATTATTATTTGAAACATATTTTCCACTTCATTTGAATTCACTTTGGTGCAGTGTGTTTGAATGTAGGATTTGTTTTATTAGTTAATACAGAATTTGTCTCAAACTTTTGTTATTTTTCAGTTTTATTCATGCATATCAATAAGAATAAAAAGTATATTGCAAAACTCTGGGTTAGTATAAACTGCATTGCAGGTGGAGTAGGTTTCTGGCTAAAAAATCATTTAAGTTTCTCCTTAGAACTGTTCATTTTAGTGTTTGTGCTGACATGAAGGCTTCATACATGTGAATTTCCCCTAAGATTGAGTTCCTAAATTATCAAGATTATTAATTATATGGGCTCAGATTATACAGAAAGCAAAGCTAAGGAAACTAAAGTTCATTCCCATACTGTGTGTGTCTTGTAGTACCTGCATGTTTGGGATACCATGTAGCAGTGCCCATTGTGTATATCTCCCTAAATCTAGGGCAGTAATGTTCTGTTGTTAAATTAAAGTTGAGACTCTTCCCACCATGGAAATTGTAAACACTACAACTCAGGGTTTGATTCATTGTTTTATTGGCTGTCACTGTAGATTTAAGAAAGGAGAAAGTATTAATAAGTAATTTCTAATATTTAACATTAAGTAACTATGCATGCACACACAAAATGTAATCTATTTCAACAAAAAAAGTCAGTTATGATTTGACAGTCTAATTTATATGTACAAGATACATCATTATTTCCTTTTTGTCTTATTAACTTAAATAGAAATTTCAATGAACATTCACTTGGCTAATTGTAATCATAGATGGGCTATAATATAATAATTCGGCAGAAATCAACAGAAGCATTCTGTGAGTCAGTTGGCTATAATGGTATAGTACTTATAATAAAGACAATTGTGTATTTTATTGTCATTTGTA